TTGAAAATTGCTTGATTGATTGGGGACATGAGAAGATACTCACAATTACCGCAGATAATGCAGCTGCCAATACTAAGGCAATTGAATATGTGAGGAAGAAAATAAATGGGTGGAAAGATTCGAATAGTGTGTTAGGAGGAGTTCACATGCATATGAGGTGTAGTGCTCATATAATCAACTTGATAGTTAAGGAGGGTTTGAAGAGATTAGAAAGCTCAATTGTGGCAATCCGTAATGCGGTCAAGTTTGTGAGGTCCTCACCTTCTCGGTTGAGTTACTTCAAAATGTGTGTTGAGACGGAAAAAATAGAGTGCAAGGGGTTGGTGGTTATGGATGTGCCCACTAGGTGGAACTCCACTTATTTGATGCTTGATGCGGCATTGAAATTTCGAAAAGCCTTTGATAGAATGGGGGATGATCCCGATTCTTCCTACTTAATGTACTTCAAGGAAGATGAAGGAGATGACGAGAGAATTGAAGTCATTGAAGGAAGTGGGAAAGGGAAGGGAAAGTCTAAGTCTAATAAGAGGGTGGGTCCACCTAATGATGAAGATTGGGAAAAAGCCGTGACATTTGTGATGTTTTTGAAGACCTTCTATGATGTCACGTTGAAAATTTCAGCTTCTTTGCATCCAACATCACACTCAACCTTCCATGACTTGCTTGCCATAGATGGGGAGATTCGGGAGTTGTATAGATATGATGTTACAATTCCTATTGACGAACGGACAGTCATGGATACTCTTTTAAATGATATGGCAGCATCAATGAAGAAGAAATATGATAAATATTGGGGTGAACTTCATAAAGTGAACCCATTCTTGATGATAGGAGTTGTGATTGACCCCCGATTCAAGCTTCGCAATTTGAAGCACATCTTTGAAGAAATATTTGAAAATGACCCTACTTGTGATAGATTGGTGGCTCAAAAGACAAATGAGGTGAAACAACTTCTTATGAATATGTATGAAGTGTATAAGCCTAGTAGTAACAATATGGGTGCTACTAGTACTACCAATGAGAGTGGTGGTAGTACTAACAATGAAACCGACTCTTCTTTGGTTTTTGGAGGTCGTAAGCGAAAAACCATGATGGAAAAGTGGAAAAAAATTCAACAAGAGAGTGAGAATGTGGTTATAACACATGAAGTGGATAGGTACTTGTTGGATCCACTTGAATTCATTGATGAGGAGTTTGATATACTAGGGTGGTGGAGAATAAATGGGCTCAAGTATCCTACTTTGGCATCAATTGCAAAGGATGTGCTTGCAATCCCTACTTCCACAATAGCTTCGGAGTCTTGTTTTAGCACAAGTGGGAGAGTGATTGACTCGTTTCGAAGCTCATTGTCTCCTAGGATGGTTGAGGCTTTGATTTGCTCTCAAAATTGGATAAGGTCCGAAGATATATCTTCATTGCAATATGTGCCAAGCATTGAGGAGATGGAGTTCTATGAATCAATTGAAATGGGTAATATTTTCATTTCTATAAGTATATTTGAATCTGATTTTGTTCTTATTTTTATGTGTTCTAACTCAAATTGGTTTGATTTATTTTATTATATTTTGTAGAAATGGGGAGTAAAACATCCACGACAAATTTGAATAAGACTCTCCCTTCTTAGTGTGATTAAGATATGTTGGAAGGTATTTTTCTTGCATCTTATGTTAATTATGATTTGTTGATGGTGAAATTTTGTGTTAATTCTTTTAAGTGTTGTGCAGATTACTTTGTTAATGCTTTTGGAAGAATGGATGCAGCAGATTTTTTGCAATGACATTATCTTCATGTGTATTTTTGTGATGAGTTGTAATATTTAATTTCATAAGTTTAATTTGGTTTTTGTATTATTTTTTGTAATGGTTTGTAAGAAATTATATTTCTTTTCCTTGGTTGGTTGGTTGAATGTGTGTGAGATTTATTTAGTTTAGAAACTTAGATTGGAATGATGGATTTTTATAGGTTGAATTTACATAATTTCAGGTTTTGAATGTGAGATTTATTTAGTTTAGAAACTTAAATTGGAATTATGGATTTTTATAGGTTGAATTTACATAATTTCAGGTTTTGAAAATGAAGTAAAAAGTGTTTTGGGCTTGTTCATGAGAATTGAATAGGTTTTGGCAATTTGACAACAAAAAAAGGGTTTTGGGCTGAAAGTGAATCTGATTTGGGCTTTGTTTTGCTAAAAAAATTTGATTTGGGCTTTTTTTTTGCTGAAAATAAATACAATTTGGGCTTTTTAAAATGGTAAAAATGGGCTCAGGCCCAAACCGAACAAAAACTGAACCGACCCGAGAACCGAGCCCATTTCCGGTTCGGCCCATTTTCGGGTTTCTCCCTAGAACCAAACCGACCCGAGAACCGAGCTCTCCTTCGGTTTGGCTTGCGGGTCGGCCAAATTTTGAACCGACCCGAACCGTGCCCAGGGCTAGCTACATTGTCCTAATCAACATCAGTTTGTGGTCCAACTCAAGACTGTCTACTATTAGTTTGAACTACATCATCCTCATCAACTTCCTCATCTGGTTATTTGAAATAAGTCATGTTGTTCAAATCCTCTGCCATTCTAGTAAAAGCCTTCTTAAACTTCAAGGCTGCATCCAACATCATGTATGTTGAATTCCATCTTGTGGGGACATCCATGCATACAAGGCCTTTGCATATCAGTTTCTCCTTCTCAGCAAAGATTTTAAAATAATCCAATCCATATGGAGATGACCTAACATACTTCACAGCATTCCTAATTGCGAAAACAGATTTTTACAGCTTCCTCAACCCACTAAACATAATTAAATTAGTGATGTGAGCACAACATCTCACATATAAGTACTTCCCACCCAAAAAAGCTTGTGAATTGTTCCATTTATTCATCTTATATCTAACCCAATCAATTTCCACTTTATTTGTAGAGGCATTGTCCACAATGATGGTTAAAACCTTCTTTATACCTCACTATAACAAACAACTCTCAATGAGGTCTCCTATGGTGTTGCCTTGGTGATTAGGAATAACACAAAACTTTAAAACCCTTTTGTGCATCTTCCAATCACAGTCTATAAAGTGAGCACCATGTAATTGGTGTTTTGGACACTTGTCCAAGTGTCAATCGTGAGGTTGATCCTATGTGCACTCAAATCCTTCTTCAGCTATTCCTTTTGTGCATCATACATTTTAAAAAACTGCCTCACTATTTTTCTCCTACTAGGTACTTCAAATATTGAGCAAGCAACATTACAAAACCTCCTAAAACCCTTCTTTTCTACAAAAGAAAATAGCATCTCATCAATGACAGTCATTTCTTTCACATGCATCCATAACATCACTCTACACGAACCCCCTGTCAACCATTTTGTTACCCTAACCCTTATCACCAACAATGATCTTTTGTGTTTTATCTTGGTTAGGTGGGTAGTATTTGCAGTATTTTCTAATGTGGCTTATCATTCATAAGTCCCATTTTTCCTACTTTCACATGCATTACCTCCTATACCAAGTTTAGATTTAGTACAATATCTGCATTTTGCTCTTTTATTCACAACTTCTACATCTACCATCTTCCGTGTGGCCTCATCCTTTCTTTTGACAGTTTTCATATGATCATAGGGTGTAAAATGATCCTAAAACCAACTTCTCTTATTACCTCTAGCTTTGATATCTAACTTCAGTTCACTAACCATTTCTGTATCTACACTCTTAACAGCTTGGGCTTGCACTGGCTCTGGCACAGGAGCTTCAAAAGGTTGGCCTTCCAACTGCACAGGGTGTGGCATTTATGGTGGTGCTGGTGATGTTGCTGTTGAAGAAGCAACAAGCCCAATGTGCTCCTGAAGCTACTGCTTACTTGATTGAGGCTGCATGACAGTAAACCCCAACAAATTAATAAAATTCAGAACAAACAATCCAAACAGAGAGAGATCCTAAACAAACAATCCAAATTTAGACAACATATTAACCCAAAACAAATTAACAAAAATCAGAACAAGAACAACTTATCATTTGAGGCTTTGTCGATTTGGGGCTGATTTAGATTCCAGACAGAAAGAGAGATCAAAAGATCGAGAGAGTGAGACAGAGATTGAGAAAGTGAGACAAAGAGAGTTCGAGAGAGTGAGACAGAGAGAGATCATGAGACCAAGACAGATCGAGAGATATCGTTGAGAGATCGAGATGAGAAAAGTTTGCCTTGGAGAGAGCTTGAATGATCGAGTGAGATCGAGAGATAGAGAGGGAGCTAGGCATCAAGATTCCTCGAATGGGCTGAGAGATCAAGAGTGAAAGAAGTATAAAAATTAGTCTATGTTACTATACGGTATGAGATTAAACGGTATGAAATATCCAATACCGTTTTTGTGCCATAAAAAGTTGACATGATTCGGTATCATATCGGATGCAACCTAAAACCAAATGAAATGGGATAAAATCGGTATGATACGATTCGATATGTGTACAATATAGGTACTTTGGCTTTAGATCCCAAGCCCTAATTTCATTGAGCAATATGAAATTTGATCATAGCTTTAAGAAGCAATGAAGCCTAAGACAAATAACACAGAACAAAACAAAATTTTCATTACCCAATAAAAAAAAATTGAAGATAGAGCTAGCAAAGTTAATGGTTTAAGTAGAGTGATAATTTTAAAAATGAAAAGTGAAATGTTCTATCACTCCAAAATAGTGGTCATACAATGCCATTTTTTACTTGAATTTTCATAAGGAAATAGTGCATAATGAATTTTTCCTAGTGCCAATAATGAAAAAGAATCGGTCAACTCTTTAGAGTTCTACCAAATACATGATTATATGGCCCACTAAAATCGTTCACAGGCCCAGTGGGCTTTCAAACGACAAAACTGCTAAAAAGATCTTAAGATTTTTTTTGGTCGAGACTAAAAGGATCTTGGATTGATTTCTCTATTTTGATCACTGCTTCGATTGATTCGACAACCAAAACCCTAAGCAAAGAGAGCAAACAACAGCAGGAGCACCGAGAAAAGAAGATGGGAGTGGAAAGGGAAGTCGTGAGTGCTGGAACCGGTCCAAAACCGACCGTCGGTCAGAAGGTCACCGTTCATTGCACTGGTTACGGTTAGCTCTTCATTCTATCTGTTTAAAATCTACCTTTTTCTTAGCCACATATCGAGCTATGAAATATAAAAACAAAATTTTACTTTATTTATTTATTTTCATTGCTTGAACTTTGAATGTTTTTTCAACCCAATATAATTATTGTAGTTGAATTTCATTATATGGTCTGATTGTGTCCTTAAACCAGGAAAAAATGGTGATCTGAGTCAGAAGTTTTGGAGGTGAGCATTTTTTTTATAATGTTTTCATGGGTCTTTTCAGGCTTGTATATATATTCTCAAAATTGAATTATGTAAATTTGATATGTAATTTTTTCTTTCTTTGATCTTTTTAGTACGAAGGACCCTGGGCAGAAGCCTTTCAGCTTCCAAATTGGGAAGGGTGCTGTTATAAAAGGTAATTATATGTGTTTTCCTTATGTACGTGTACACATATATGTGATTGTGTGTATGTGTGTGTGTTTGTTCGTTCCAAGTTTTCTCTGATATATATGACTTGTTTTGTTGGAGCACATTTGTAGGATGGGATGAAGGTGTGCTCCAAATGCAAGTGGGAGAAGTTGCTCGTCTACGGGTAATGTTCATCTTCTGTGCTCGGAAGATTTATGCTCTATGATTTAACAAATAGTTTTGATGTACTCTGAAGCTTATTATAAAATTTTCATGGTGAAATTAGAAGGCCATTAGGAGGCCGTTTGAACATGATCCTAATGACTCATTTGGAAAACTTTAAGTATCTCATTTGTATTTGTTTGTCATTGTGAAATTGATCTCTTTGCATTTTTTAGCAATAAACTCCCATATATAGGTCATGTTTTCATGAATCCTCGCACATTTTTTCGCTCCTCTAAGAGTACTGTATTGTTTTCTATAGAAACAGAGTTAATTTACCTCTTTTCTTCTTTATGGGACAACATGTTTTGCCCCATCCTGAAATTTACCAACAACTTCTAGGCTTGGTTCTCATTGTGTTATTTGCGACCTTGCAAAATGTTTGATATTTCTTTGACTGATGTCCAAATTATGAATTCCTCTTCAAACTGAATGGTCCCAGACTCCAGTGTCTTAAATCTATTATTTCAACTAGCAATCTGCCGTTTCTAAAGTAGTGATTTAAGATGTAAGAAGCTAGGAATGTCTCATGTTCTTATTTTCATTTGGTGTGCATTTTGAAAGTCTGGAACTGGAATGCACTTTATCTCACATTAACATCTCATATTCCTTCTTGATGAATTTGCAGTGCTCTCCAGATTATGCTTATGGTGCTAGCGGATTTGGTGCATGGGGGATACAACCTAATTCGGCTTTGGTTTTTGAGATTGAAGTCCTAAGTGCGGAGTAAGCATTGGGCAGGGAGTCGGACCCTCTGCAAATCTATATTATCCTCATTAACTTGCTTTTCCATGGGCATATATTAGTAATATGACACTTTATTTTTCGAAATCTTGGTGTGTAATCTTTTGTGACCTTTTTCATTGTTTTTTTTTAAAAAAAACTTGGTTTGGTGGATATATCCACATGGTTATCCTGGAAATAATTTCTTGTGACCTTTCGTATTTGACAGGTTTTAAGGATTGGTTCTGATACAATGTTACCAAACATTAGGAAGAGAAATACCACTAAACCAGAAGTCACTTGGTTCTTGGCCTTAGCCCTATTTATTTAGGAACGGGGTGGTATTAATTAAGCCCTAGATGTGCTATTTAGCTTGTTTAATTATGTGATCTTAATTAAATAGGAAACACTGGAAATAAAATAGGAATGAGGCAACGTGGCTATATAGCTTTGTCTTATTTCTCTCTGTCATCTAATGAAATGATTACCCATTTTATATGGAGTTATCTATTTTAGGTGAAACGGGCCGAAATCCAACAATAAAAATAACTAGACAGAAAACCAGTTTGGGTCTAGCCACACTAATAGCATCAGCAACTAGAACATCAGAGATAGAACGAAGTTCATAGGATCTCATGTTGGCCAGACCATCTTTTGTTAATTTTGCATACCATAAACATGCTTGAACAAATCCGAGGCTCCTAAAGCTTCATTTTGTAGCAATTCACTAGTTTGAAAAGAGGATGAGTAAAATCATTAATCTCGTCAAGAACCTTCTTTCTCATACTGAGGGTGAAGGGTTTACTTGTGTTCTTAGTTGGTGTAATGGGCATTGGCGGATCCAGGAATTTTCCTTCGCGGGGCAAGAATGTGTAGAGTCCTACCTCCGATGCAGGGGATAATGGAGCCTACAGACAACCTGTAAAGTCTGGCCTAATGCAAATCGAGTCTCATCCATTCCCTTGCCTTCTTTGAGACATTTTATCAAACATTTTGCAGGCTTTGCCCCCAGGCTCCAAGAAAACAACAAAGCAGCTGGGCAATTTAATGGGTGTGTCTCATATTGAGCTGCACTCATCCCTCAATGGATCTGCAAACGTAATGGGATTGGTCATTGTATTGCCCGGTTTGATATTTCAATTGATGATTCGTTTAATTGGGTGGTTAATCCTCTTGATTTTATTTAAAATGGTTTAGGGAGGACTCGATTAGGATCTTGAGTGCATGAATAAATTTTATTAATCACTTAAACTACAAGTCCTTGCAAAAAGGAAAAATCAATAAAATATGATTTTCTCGTAAAAAAATAATGAATGAATATTAATTACAAAAAGGAAAAATCAAAAATCAAAAATCTTTGAGGAGCTCACGGACCTTCTCCAAGGTAACGAACAAGACCACAGTAAAAGGTCCTTGCCTTGAGATGGTAGGAATAAAGCCCTTATACAAAGCCATGGGACCTTCAGCCCTCACTGTCTTCATCGCACAATCCAACGCACCCGAGTACGGTGCCGTAGCCCCGGCCTCCACCTTCATATTCATCACCCTCGTCTTGATCACGTCGATCGGGTTCGACGCCACGGCGGCCACGAACCCGGCCCCGAAGCTCGCCACCACGTGGGTCCCAATCCCGTCGTTCATGATGCCCTTCTCCAATATCACCTCCTTCATCTGATCGTAAGAGGCCAACTGTGATGCCGTCACGATCATGGCGCGGTTCACCGTAAGAGAGGAGCCGCGCCACAGGCTAGTGATCCCCTCGTGTTTCGACATTTCCCGAATTGCGTCGATCACGCTCTTGTAGTTGCGGCGCTGGTGGATCGGGAGGCGCCCGTCAGCCTGCATGCGGACCATTGCCACGTCAGCGGGGTTGCCGACGGCGGCGCCAACGCCTCCAGCCACCAGTCCAGCGGCTAACTTGCGCGGGAGCGGGAGGTTTCCGGATTCAGGGTCGGCCCATTTCCGCTTGAGGATGTCGTAGAGGCCCATGCGGGTGGTGGAGTAGAGGGTTTGGCGGAGGATGGTGGCGGAGACCCCCGAGAACAGCGCTGCAATGCCTTCGGTCTGCGCAATGCGGAGTCCAAGGGAGACAGGCCCCACTCGGGGTGGTTGGGGCGCGGGTGCACAGAATGTAGACGGCATGGAGGTGGTGGCGGAGGTGAAGGAGAGGGCCGGGCGGAGAGCGGGCTGCATTGCAGGGTTGGGGAGGTGGGATTCGCCTTGAAGTTGGATGCGGACTTTGATGAGGTCAAGTGGGTGCGTGGAAGCTCCGGCTATGATGGAAGCTATGCCACCTTCAACGAAGCCTTTTACGCCCATTTTGCGATTATAATGAATTACACTTGGAAAAATGAAGATGAAATGAAACAAGAGTTTTCAATTTCCAACTTCAGGAGAGAGAGAGAGAGAGATTGTGTTGTTGGGTTGCAGTGTGTTTTGAGAAAGTTGAAGAGGAGAAGCGTGGATTTATAGATATGGAGGTATTAATTGCAAAGCGTGTGCTTACGCGGGTTCTATTAACTGTGTGAGGATGTTGTGGTTTGACCTGAGAGTGAGAGGGTGAGACTAGATCTTTCTTCTTTCTTGGCGTGCTGTGCTGCGCTTTTGACTTGGAGAGGCTCACCTTAGTAAAAAATTGAGTTTTGTTTTAGTGTGTTTCATATAAATCGGGAGTCATACACGTGTCAGTTGCCACTCGTAGACCTATAATTTGATTCATTCTGGGACTTACAGTTTTAATATAGACTAGGGACGATATTATTTGTCTTACTTGAGAGCTTAATATAGTCGTGCGTGTGTGTTAATTGGTTTTTTTTTTTAAAGACAATATTCTTGAATTTCAATTTGTTATAGACAAAATTACACATTTTTTTATCAACAAATTAATTTTATTAGGTAACATTTTTTAATTTTTATAAAAACACAAACAATAAAAATAAAAGTAATGAACAAAGAATAGTAAAATTTGGATTTTGAGCATTTTTTCTTCAACTCAAAACTTCAAATTTCCAATTGTAAAGGACAAGAATCTCAGTTGAGTTTTTTGCTAAATCAAATAAAAAAGAAAAATAAGTTAACAAAGATGTCTCTCACAAAAATCCTATTATACATCTATTTATAAAAAAGAATGACATAAAGAAAAGACCTTCAAATTGCTAAAGCTTCTTATGTGTGTTGCTGCCACTACCAGGTCTTTTTTATTTTTGGCTAAGATAAAAACGTTTGTTTGGTTTGTTTGGTTTTTTTTTATTTTTTGGTGGTTAAGAACTCTTTGTTTTCATATGTTTAGTTTCATTAATTTTTGTTTTTTGAAATATATTATATAATTTATATTTAGTTAGTTCCTAGAGAATCTCAAAGAGGTTTGTGCTACCATGATTAATTATTACGGCTACTTCCTTCTAGGATATTGACGGTTTGGGGTTTTTTTTTGGGTTAATGTAAATATATAGGCTAAAAACCATATTTTTGTGCCCCCCACAGTTTGGGCTCTGGGCTGTGGCCCTGGTCGCACTGGGTCAAGGCCGACTTTGCATAAATTACAAGATATAATGAGTGGCTTCACTACTAATAACATCAAGTTTTTTGTTATAAAACTCAAAATCTAACTAGGCTTTGTAGGTGATTAAGTTACTGATAAGATCGGTATTGCTAGTAATGGGTGGCCTCTTGTCTCTTTAAAATTTAACATTTTAAAATATGAAAAATCATTAATTTATTATATTATCCTTATGCAATGAATATTTCATTTGTTAATATTTTATGAACTAAGGATATTTTGTTGTATTTTGAATATTTCACCATTCATTTCATCTGCATATATATACAAAGAGCTTCTGTTGAGGGATCCCTCTTATTTGAGGGACACTTTTGTAGGGTCCACTTCACATTGTATTTCACTAATCCAAACCTTCTATTTTGTAGATATTCATTCAAAGATCATCTCTACAAAAAATCACTTGAATCCAATATCATTTGACCATTCATTTAAATTATTGAAATTTAAGTACTTTCTGGAAGTATCGTGTTCATTGATTTTGTTAGTCTCAATTTGACGCCTTAATTATTTTCGATTTGTCTGATTTTTTGCAAAGATGATATATGAATGAAGACTTGAAACATAAACGATTTGGTTCGTTAAAAAATTCAAAGGATAGAAGTGAAAAAATGTGAAATAGGATTTATTTTTTTTACAAAGGTTGACAAAGCCTCTTCTCTTAAATTATAGTATAGATAATTTTATCATTACTTACAAAATTATATATCTATATATATAAAGCAAAAGGCAGAAAATGGTAAAACATTCAAAATACCAGAAAATGTCATTGGTTAATGCAAACATTAAGAATTGAAATTATTAATTAAATGAGGATAATATGGTGATTTCACACTTTTTCATATTAAAAAATTAAAAAGAAAATCAGATAATTGATCCTATTTTTATGGAACACAACTACCCATTATCTTTTTTAATTCTAAAATAAATTATTTAAAATTAAAAATAAAAAAAAATCTTTCGCAAGTGCGAAAGCGCGTGCAAAGAAGCTAGTCTAACATTATAGTGATGTCTTTTCGTTTTATACGTATGAATCTTTTACAAAATTCTATTCAAAGAATTGAATCTTTTATAAAATAAAAAAATTATTATTGTACCTAAAATAGTTATTTTAGCTGTTGGGTGCAAGAAGATTATGCAATTTATTAGTAATTTGTAAGGGATGGACCAGTTCACACTTTCAAGTGATCTTTGACTTGTGTGGCTTCTTGCTTGTTTTCTTTTCCTTGCCTCTTCGCAAGTCTTACACGCTCACCAAAGTCCAATGCGTTTTTCAACTCATTCTATTTAACGAACAAGTTATTGCTGCCTACAATAATTGATTCCGACTCCTAGCATTGTTTTCACTTTGAGTGAGGAAGAAGTCACTCTTCTTTCTCTCCTTTTCTCTTCTCTTTACCCTAATTTCAGAGACAAAAGATTTTCTTTATTTGTCTTCGTTTTGTTATGATTTTCATCCACTCATCACAAGCGGTTGCGTCGTGACATCGGATCTCCACCACCATTCTTTTTGCGGTTTCTTTATGTTTGGAATAAGTCATAAAAACTCTTTGGGTCTTCTATATAGTTTTCACCTCTTCTATTGTGAGATCCATCTCTCTTTTGTGAGCGACTAATTTGTATTGTTATGCTTGGATTTTTCAAGCTTGATCTCTATTTGATTGTTCTGAATTTGCAATCTTAGTTGGGAGGTTTATGCCAGAGTTTCTTCAATCATGCGTGATCGTTAGTAGAGGTGCACTAGATTGTCTTAATTTTGATATTAGATAGCTCCGTTATTGTAATGGTCATTTGTGGCTAGTAGCTTTTTTGGTTGAATTATAAATGCAATCCCTGAATTTCTATATATATATAATATAAAAAATGATTCCAACAACTTCATAACGTTACTAACTAGAAATGGAAAATGAAAGGAATAAAAATAGTCGCAAGGAGAACATTAAAAGGTATATCAAGGCACCAACGAGGTCTTGTTCAATGAAAAAATAGTCTTGACTTTCAAATCAGTGGTCTCAAGTTCGAATCCTTCATGACATCTTAGTTGTATGTGTAGGAAACCCCTTTCCTTCTTGTAGTTTAGACTACTGCTTGCATTAAAAAAAATTATATGAAGACTACATAACTAAACATATAATCAGAATCTCACTCTTGATTTGTTAGGAAGGATTTTTTTTTTTATAGGTAACTTGGGAATACCAAAAAGAACATCCTTTTATACTGAAAAAGTAGTCATCCTTTTATAACAAACTCAATATTTTTGGTAATACCAACAATAGCTTTACGCATAAGAAGATAAAAGAATTTATCAATATCTAAAGGTAACTATTATTATCATGCACTCCTCACAGTACAGTTTGCTGCTTATGTTTTTATACGTGAAAAAATGTCGGATGACTTTTATGGAGTTCAAATAACATCTCCTCATTGTAATGAATTTCTTTACAATGTATTGTTCCCATCCATTCTAGGGTTCGTCACTAAGCTGGGCTTGGTGGGCCTGACCCTAAAAGTTCGGGCTTGGGCTAAGCTTGGGTTGGGTTTTTAGGGCTTAGACATTTTTATTTCTTTCAAGGACCTCCAAAATCAATAAACCGACCTTAAGAATCAACTACATACAAGAATTTAAAGAGTTATGTTGACTATTTCAGGAGCAATATGAATCATATTTCATGCAATAAATGTATGTGAGTAGGCCATAGTTAAAAAGAGATGTATTCTAACTCGACTTATGGTTAATTCAATTGGGACACAATTCTTTTTAGTTAGCCTTGTAGTTTTGAGACTACTCAAATTCCAAGATTAATTGGTACGAATCTATTAGTCTATATGTTTTACACCTACTTAGCAATGGTTTGCTCATCCCTCATCTTTTAGTTTTTTAGATGAAATTTTAGACATGACAAAGATTAAACGATAAAATATAAACGATTCTGATCGTTGAATTGCACTGTGACAGCCCTTGAGAAAGTGTGCTTTACAATAAAAAAAAAAAAAAAGGGTTTGATCTAAGTCCAAAATCTCTAGCCGTCAATGGATTTAGTCCACAACCTTTTTTGCTGTAGATTTTGGGTCCATTGACTTTTATTAATTTTTTCTTGTGTCAATTTTACTCTTTGAGGTAAAAAAGAAAAGAACATTAACTGAAAATCCAAATTAATGTATTGATTCTTTCCTTCTAAATGGATTTCATATTTTAAATTTTGAATCCTTCTATTGCCGCCATGACACATCTATGCCAACAAAAAAAAAACGTTTCGTCAAGTAAAATACTTTAACAATTAACTATTGCAATATTTACCTAATATATAGATAAAATACAATTTAAGTCATGAAAGTAATGACCCACATATTTTATCTTACAATGAAATTAAGACCCATAGGCAAGCACCAACATAAAACTGTACCTATCCATAAGGTTGATTTGTGAGGTTTCAAGCATAAGAACAAATAAAAAAAGTTCATATAAAACAATGAAAGTAGGAGTATTATTGATGATGTCTTCCTAACAAATATTTACCTGATTACTAGGTAAATATGACATAATATACCTAATTATTAGGTAAATATAAGATAATGTACCTAATTACTAGGTAAATATAAGATAATATACCTAAATATTAGGTAAATATAAGATGATGTACCTCATTACTAGGTAAATATAAGATAATATACCTAATTATTAGATAAATATAAGATAATGTACCTACTTACTAGGTAAATATAAGATAATATACCTAAATACTAGGTAAATAAAGACGGATCA